GAATAATCCTCAAGTTATTGGTAAATGTTATCAAATATTCAAATCTTCTAATGTTACTTTTGGTACAATACAAAATCAACAAAATAGTTTACAAAGAGAAATTCGAAGAGAACAAACTGATAATCGTCTATTAGAACAAACTGTAATTACATTTGTTGATGAATTAAGTAAAACTTCAAATAATAATACAAAAAAAAGTTCAAAAACAACAAATGCATTCAAAGAATATCTTAACAAAAGCATTATTCGACCTAGTATGGAGAATTCATGTGAACAAGAAATGAATACAAATGATGAAAAACTTATGGATAAATTTACAAAAGCATTGATATATATACAAGATTTCTAAAGTCATGAGATATTTGTAATTCAATGAACTATCTTGAGAATGAGAGTGTGAATGAAGAGATGACCCACAACTATATCCATATCCGTACTATTTGGAAGTTATTCAACGTCTTTGCGGGATGCCTAAATCTGCCTTGCATTGAAAAATCGACGACAATTTTTGCATCATTTTCCTCGTTTTATACTTTGTTTCAATATTCCAAGTATCAAAACTTGATTCTCATGCAAAACAAATATGATATTCGGGAACAGTGTGAAAAGTTGCATCGAATAACCTATATTTAGTCTATAAATTTTTTCCACCAAAAATCGACCTGTGGAGGAAGGACCACAGGGTAAAATTCGGAAAAAAATGACTGAGGAAGGAGTACGGGCCGATTTGTAGTAGAGAAAATTTATAGACAAAATATAGATTATTCCGTGCAACTTTTCACGCTGATTCCCAATATCACATTGATTTTGCATGGGAATCAAATTTTGATACTTGGAATATTGAAACAAAGTATACAATGAGGAAAATGATGCAAGAATTGTTCTCAATTTTTCAATGCAAGGCAGATTTAGGCATTCCGCAAAAACATTGAATAACTGCCAAATAGTGCGTTTTGTAGCGCTACATTGTGGGTTATTTCTGGAAAAGTTTGACAAGTGGACGCATCTTCTATGATCGACATGACTGAACGCACGAAGACTCACCGTTAGCAAGTGACCGTGAAAAACTATGGTAGATCATCAAAAATCTGCGTTTTTTCCTATCAAAAATAGAACAATCGAAGATATTAAGTATATAAGCTTGTAACTCTCAGCTACTGATGATACTTTTGATACCTAGCCGTCTATCAGTAATTTGACTGTAGTTCCTTCAAAAGGTTATCAAAACAAGATTTATTATATACCATTCGACGTGTCTTTCCTTGTTCTACAACATGGTATACTTGATTCCTCTATTCTGAATAGGTCATGCTAAAAAGGAATGACCACCTTCGGGATATCCAGATTGCTGACAGAAACTCATTGTGTCAAGAAAATTGTAAAAAATTTCAGCAAGAAACATAATGATTTTGTGATGTAAAGACAGATAAAGAGCCATGGATTTATCATTGATAAAGTGACTGAAAGTCATCGAATTCTGCACGGACATCAACTGGAGCAACTCCGCATACTAGGGTACGCTGCAGGCATTTTCCTCCAAAAACTCTATTTTATATTTTTGTCAAAACTACTGATCAAGTGTCATTTCATCAGGTTGATCAAGGAAGACATCCTCATCCATCACTATTATGTCGATAATTACTTGGAGCTTATAGCCGAGAAAATTCGCAAGACAAAATCAACATCTGATATATATACCGCAAAACTTCATCATGACATCGTCAAACCACATACGCCTAAATATGCTTCAAGCTATCTCTAATCGAAATGTATCAAACTCATTCAGTAATCACTGAATTCTCTAGATCTGATACTATGTGAATTTTGTTTATTCGATCTTATCACATAAAATCTAACTGATTACAGCAACGCACAATTGCTGAACCGTGTTGTAACCAAGAGCATCAGCTGGATTAACAAAGATGATTATTAAAAAAAACTATTCACAAATGACTTGAACGAATTCAATTGTGAGTAAATAATCAGGACAACTACTGTCAACATTTAAAGAAATAAAATCTGAAATAACTTGTTTTTGTATTTTTTTTCTTGAATATCTCGTTACTTTTGATATGCCCTAAGTATTTAGAATCTTCTATTGGCACGTAGTAAATAGATAATAGCTGTGCCTAATACGACACCCATGCGCTTAGTCGCGGTTAATGAATCGTTTATGACATATCTCATAGCAGTAAACATGACGACAATCTGTATTAATACTTCACGTCGTATGTTGTCAAGCGGCTGCAGCACAGTTTGAGTGAAAGTATTTTTCATTGTATATATCAATTGCCGAGCCTGACAGAATATATTTTGGTGTAGCCAAGATCGAAGTAATGGCATAATATCAATCAACGATCTGCCTATTCTTAGTATAACTTGAGTGTAGACAAATGTGCAGATCGCAAACATACGGCGACAGAAAGGCAACACGATGGAATAATAATTAAATTTACATGCATCCCAAGAAGACTTGAAAGTGTTCTTAGCGTACATAATAGAATAGGGCATGGTTTCGTATACCAAACGATGAATCTCTGGCATGATATATATCAGCAGCCTGTTCAATTGTGATAAGAGTTGTTGGTAAATAGATAAGCAGATGTTGAAAATACGGCGACAGTAAGGAAGCATGATGACATAGTAATTAAATTTACATACGTCCCAAACGAACTTCAACATATTCATTGCATAATTAATAGCATAGGGAATGGATTGATATATTATGTGTTGAATCTTTGGTATACTATACATCAGCAGCCTGTTCAACTGTAGTAACAGTTGATTGTAAAGAAATATGCATCCATTCCAAAATGACTTAACTATATTCATTGCATAACTAATAGCATCGAGAATGGATTGGTATACTATGCGCCAGATTTTTGGTATGATATAAACTAGTAGTCTCTTGAATTGTGGTAAGACTTGGTTGTAAATAAATGAGCACATGTTGAGAACGTGATGACACAACGGAAGTACAATGAGATTATAAATATATATGCATCCATACCATAAGGATTGAAAAGTCTTTTGTATATGCCAAATAACATAGGAAATAAATGGGTATACTATACGCCGAATCTTTGGCATGATATACACGAGCAGTCTGTCCAACTTCAGTAAGAGTTGGTTGTAAATAAATGAGCAGATCTCGAACACACGATAATAGAAACGAAAAACGATGAAATTATAAATAAATATACATCCACTCCAAAAAGGCTTTAACGTGTTCATTGCATACGTAATAGCATAGGGAATGGATTGGTATAATATGTGTCGAATTTTTGGCATGATATACATCAGCAGTATTTGTAACTGTAGTAAGAATTGATTGAAAATAAATATACATTCATTGCAAAAGGACCTAAAACTCTCGATTATACACTTTATAAGATCTGGAATAGATTGATATAATATGTGCTGAATCTTTGGCATGACATACACAAGCAATTTCTCCAACTGTAGTAGAAATTGATTGAAAACAAATATGCATTTATTGCAAAAGGACCTAAAACTCTCGATTGTACACTTTATAAGATCTGGAATGGATTGATATAATATGTGCCGAATCTTTGGCATGACATACATGAGCAGTCTCTCGAACTGTAGTAAGAGTTGATTGTAAATATACGAACAGATGTTGAAAACAGGATAACAGAAATGAAAAATGATGAAATTATAAATAAATATGCATCCATCCCAGAAAGATCTAAAAATCTTCATTGTATACTTAATAACATAGGATATGAATTGATATAATATGTGGCGAGACGTTCGTATGATAGAAACCAACAATCTTTCCAACTGTGGTAAGACTTGGTTGTGAATAAATGAACAAATCTTCATAAGAAAATTGCAAAAAGATGGCCATATTTCGTCTACAATGAATATGCATAATTTTTCTATGTTTTGGTATATCCATATGAATAGATCCTTGAGAATTATGAACAATAGATTGAACACATTGCAAGATTGAGTACATAGATACTTAAATAAAGTAACACTGGGTATGATAATATATTCATAGCACAACAATGCAATTGATACAATAATCTGTTTGTAGAACTTGATACAAAGCCACACAGTTGAATCTACGATATAGTTTATTAGATTACCTATGACTGGAAGAATACGATTGTATACGAAGATTCCAAACGATGGTAATATTTCATTGTAAAATTTTCGACCTGCATATCGAATTAAAATAACAAGTCTTTTGGATGCTAATATAATAGATTGATATGCGGTCTTGATCATCCTTAGTAGATGTATTATGATAAAATGAAGTAAAATAGGCAACTGTCGGAATATAATTTCGATGGTGTAATAAATAATAGAAAGCATAATAACAATGAGAAATAATGGTAACTTGAATATCAACAGATACGTGGGTCCACTAAAGAAGTTGCGTATCTCATTATTCGCAGAATGAGTTGATATTGATTTGATATTATCACCGGATCGTTGTTGCATGTTGTTATAATTACCTTTAATGTATGTTAAACTTGGTTATATTGATTTTAGGAAACAATTTATCTACAAGAAATATATCATTTTTTTTCCACATTCAAAGTTACAGGTTAGGAGAATAAAAGTAAGATAAGCTTTAAACAATAGTAAATTGCAGACCTATTTGTTTTAATATGAAGTGACAATCATATCTAAGCACAACTACGTAAATAACACATTCTCATAAATCTATGTCAATATTATGTTTGTGAAGAGAAAAAAACAGTTCGTAACTCTACCTTATTGCTTCTGATAGTGTGAGCCAAAAGTTTTGGT